ACCTCGTTACAATTTTATTTTTCAATAATTCTGTCCGATAAAATTTCATTGTCCATTAAGTAATCCCCGAAATGAGAGCTCTTATGAGCCTATAATGAGCTCTAATTGCCACGACTAGTCGAGCCACGTGGAAGGATTTAGAAGGTATTAAGCGGTTGGGTACAGAGCGCGGGCTGTTACCTTGCCATTACTTTCATAATTCAAGGAGAAAATTAGTCCTTTTAAGGGAAAATCCTTTGATTCCCTTCATTCTGCTCGGGGTGACAGAGTATAGCTTTGTCTGCTTTTAGTTCAAGACAGTGTAACAAATGGGAATGTAACAAAATTGCCCCCCTTTTAAAAAACTTTTTTTTAAGCCAGTGCTGTTCAAAAAGAACATCAGAGACGACGACAACACACACACACACACACACACACACACACACACACACACACACCCCCACACCCCTCTGCCTTTCTTCCCTGCAACTTTTAGGATTGGAGACGTGTGTATTCCTAGTCGTGTTTTGCTATCAAACAATGGAAGCTTGATTTGGGTTTTCTTTTTACTTTATTTTTAAGTATCCAAAATACACCGTCTCTATGCATAAATAAAGAAATCTGAAACCCAGATTACGTTATCATGGCGCTTCGCAAAGCGATCCGAGCAACAACATAACTCTGGGCTAGTAGCTCACTTGAATGAAACGAGGTTTTTTTCGAAGCAAGTATACAGTCCTAAATGCACGTAGTGGACAGAATTAAGGACCATTGAACTCAATAGTGCTTGCTTCTGAATGAAAAAATATACCTAGGAGATTCCTGTCCATGGGTTGAGGAGTGGCAAGCCAACATGATCCTGGATTTAATCTTCCAGAAGAATTCCCGAAGCCCATGGGATTAAGCTGGAGCAACCGTGTCTACCTTCCGCACGATGCTGGAGGGCCGAATCATGCCTGTTCAGAAGTAAAATACTCTGAGATCCAACAGGCCTTACTTTCCTGGTAAATTTGTAGAGGATGGCAGTATTGTGCATAAATATTCAATGGGGTTTCGAGCGAGCATAGATTAATAGCTCTCCCCTTGATCGCGGTTGAAATTTACTTCCGAGTAAGAGGACTGTTCTTTCTTTATAAGGTTTGGATACCCCACCCCGCTGCCAATCTTTTCAAATCATTGATACTCAAAATACCCCTTTTCCTCTGTTCACTTTCCAAGTCCTACTTGTGGGATCGATCACCGCTATAGAAGTTCCCTTGTGGTCCGTTTGAACCCAACCTGTTAGGCTCTCCATCGCCTTAGAGGCGCATCTAACTCTGCATAGGAGAAAACCACAGAATGCAGAATAGGACTTAACTTCCCACTGTGCGCTCTTAAGACTCTCTGGGTGGGTGTCTCCCTTTTAGAGTTGGCGAGGAGTTTTTGAAAGTCCAGGGAACTACCTATAAGCCCTCGGATCCTTTTCTGGTTTGAGGGTGAGGGAGATTTCTAACGTCACCCGAAGGATTTCAGTCAGTGACTTCGCGAAACTCTCCGGTTTCCAAATGCAAAGTGTGCGCTCATCTCAGTCCCGGAAACCCAAGCTGCTCTCTAGGCAAAACCTGATGCGCCCTACCCACCCTGGCTCGCTGGTTTGGAACGGCAAAGAGGACCATCGCGTGAGCGCCCGAAGAATCTAAGCTTTCCTTTTCACGTTATCTTTCGCTTTCCTCGAAAAGTTCCCAAAGCAAGCGCTGGTGTGTGTGTGTGTGTGTGTGTGTGTGTGTGTGTGTGTGTAAGCAAAGGCAAACAGAAGCCGGGGCTTGCCCCAGCTCCCCTTAATGAGGCCATTCTAAAAGCGTGAACAAGCCTATGAATGTTTTATTGAAAGCGCATCGTTAACTTGTATCCATCCTTTTTCTCCCGAGCGTGGCATTGTGATATTCCTGCCTGTGGCACATCTTACCCAATATAGCCCCAGATCTCTCCATTCTCCGTAACCAAGCAACACTTTCTGAATACCAAAAATTGAAAAGAACCGCTTAGTCTTCAAGAAAGTCCTCAATAATAGTGGGGAAAAGAACAAAGATCCAGGAGACAACAAAATGCCACAGGGGTGACTTTTCAAGAGCAATTATCTCTCATTAATCAGAAGAACAGCTGCAATATTAATTTTCTCGCTTTCTTCCTCTCTTTTCAAAGTCTTCTCTCTCTCTTCCCCCCCCACCTCCCAACATTTGAATAATCATAAATTTTGACTTCATAGAGAAGCAACATTTTTAGAGGCTGAAAGGTACAAAACCGTCATCCCGGAGGAAAGAGTTGGTTAGTTTAATGTTGCCAAGGATTTGGGCGGGGAGTGGGGGCAGGGGGGGAAGAATCCTAATCTCTGCCCCCTTTTTATTTTCCTTTGCACCCCAGCCTCTCCCCCCCCCCCCAGCTTCCACTGGTTCACTTCTGGAAACTTTAAACTCTCTCTCTCTCTCTCTCTCTCTCTCTCTCTCTCTCTCTCTCTCTCACGGAAATTGTAGCGAATTGTCCCAGTGGGTTCAAGCAAGCGTGGGAGTTTCGACAGCCCCGCTGTCCATTTCATTCGCAGCCCTTGATGCAGAAGCCGAGCGTTTTGTCGATCAGACCGAAGAGACAATCTTGGGGCGTAACGCGCTTTGTAGCACATCAAAAGGCCCACTGCATTAGAGGAACTAAGAAGTTCATTCAGCAGAAAACGGAGCAAGAGGTCCTCCTCCCCCATCTTTCCCCCCTTATTATTATTTTCAAAAAAAGACTTTGTAAAGATCCTGATTGTTAGTAAGGATGGGTTGCTGGAGGTGGGTGGAAAAACAAGTTCTCTCCCCACCGCACCATAAAGAGACAACATGCATCAACACTTCTCTCTCTCAATCACACACACACACACACACACCATTCACACTCACACACCAGTGCTTTCCAAACTTAATCTACATGATTTAGGACAGCGATGGCCTTCCAGAGCTTATCGGAGTCCATTTCCCATCATCCCTTGCCAGCATGGCCAACGATCAGGGATGATGGGAGGCGTAGTCCAACATCACTGAGCAGGCCACAGGTTCCCCTTGCTAAGATGTATAAGACTGAATCAGATAAGTGCTGGAGATGCAATGAGACCGAGGGTACATTCTATCATATGTTGTGGACCTGTAAAAGGGTAAAAGAGAATTGGGAAATAATTCACAATGAATTGAAAAAGGTACTCCCCCCAAAAAAAACAGAGAGTCCTTTTTGTTGGGGATAATTCAGATGGAAATTCCCAGGTGTCAAAAAAGGTTACAGTGGTACCTCAGGTTAAGAACTTAATTTGATCTGGAGGTCCGTTCTGAACCTGTAACTGTTCTTAACCTGAGGTACCACTTTAGCTAATGGGGCCCCCCACTGCTGCCGCACGATTTCTATTCTCATGCTGAAGCAAAGTTCTTAACCTGAGGTACTATTTCTGGGTTAGTGGAGTCTGTAACCTGAAGCGTATGTAACCTGAAGCGTATGTAACCTGAGGTACCATTGTATTTATGTATGCCACTACTGCAGCCCGTGTTTCATTAGCCCAAAATGGAAAACGAGTGAGGTCCCAACCAAAGAAGAGTGGCAGCGTAAGTTGACAGAATATGCGCAGTTTACAGATTTAACATATAGAATAAGAGAACAAGAAGAACATACTTTTAAAGAGGATTGAAAAATGTTTATTGAATATATGGGAGGAAATTGTGTGCACTTGAAAACGCGGGCAGCATAAAGATAAATTCAACAGTGTAAATAAGTTTTGATGGATGTAATAATGAAAGACTGAATGGTTTAGTTTATGTTATGCGAAATGAACCACGGAAAGAGAAGAAGGGAAGTCATTGATATTTTAAGGTTGTTTAAATGAATATTCTAAAATGTAAAGCAGAAAATGAAATAAAAGTTATGGAGGAAGAAGGGGGGGCACAGGTTCCCCACCCACTTATCCCCTGGGGAAAATAGCTACAAAAAAGGAACTGGAGAACAGGGCCCAAACTAACAAACTGAATAGGGACAAATGTAAGGTTCTGTACTTAGGCCCGAAGAACCAGCTGCACAAATATAAGACGGTGGGGCACCTGGCTTACTAGTAGTACATGTGGAAAGGATCTAGGGGTCTGTGTGGATCACAAACTTAATGAGTTAACAGTGTGATACAGCAGCAAAAACAAAAAAGAGGAAATGCCAGTCTAGGCGGTGCAAGAATGCCATTTTGCACATGCGCACAGAGGGGAGACGGAAGAAAAGTGAGGTGTCCTGCTGTATGCATGCATACTCAATTTATTTATTTGCAGTTTAGAATGCACCAGCAGCCATGGGCATAGCCAAGGGGGAGCAGTAGTGGTGTAGCTAGCCAGGTGGCAGGGCAAGCTGTCCATGGGGCACGGCCAACCAGGCAGGGCACGCTGCGCAGAGCCGAAGCCTGCATAGATGCTCTGCCTGCATCAGCTGCAGGGCGGCTGAGGGGGAGGCGGTGGGTGGACGCGAGCCCCAGGCCTCCTTTTCAGGTGGCGCAGTGCCTGCAGACACCTGACCCACTGTGTCACTCCGAGGAGAGATCCATGGCTCGGGAGCACTACAGGCCCCCCTGGGTAAGTGCCACCCATATTGTGAGTGGCCTCCCAGTGCGCCCCCCTGCAGCCCCCTAGCTATGCTACTGGGGGGCAGGGGGTGGCTACCTCCCAAATCAATAAAAATCAATACAGTGGTACCTCAGGTTTTAATTCGTTCTGGAGGTCCATTCTTTTTTCTTTTCTGGGTTTAAATGAGTTTGTTTTTTTAAAAAATTTATATAGCCTACATGACAAGTTTTTAAAAACCAATGCCTCCACTCCAATTAATTCAGGGTCAAAATAAATCAAATTAAGCTCAAGATGGCATCAGTCCAGTTTTCAAACAATGCTGAGTGATGATGTTTTGTTGATGAATAAAGAACAGCAGCCAATTATGATGATAATTATATCATTATTATATGATATATTATATGAATTATATGATAATCCAGAAGGGTTGGTCTCTTGTTAACATTTCTCCATTTCTAATCCATCCTTAAAGAAAATCATATAAGGAGTGATACCATCCTCACAGAAATCCAGCAACGCCACCATTCCATCTGGATTCATGTTCTCGCCTACAAAAAACTGGTAATTTTTGAAGTTTGCAAGGATATGTTTGACTTGTTCAGCTGCTCCAGTCATAAACAGCTTTACTCTCTCTGGCTTTGTTTCCTCAAGTCTTGCTTTGATTGCTTTCATATAGTTCTTGATGTACTTCTTGTAAGACTCTTTAGTGAAGCTTGTTTCCTGAAGGTGGTGGTTCATGACAATGTCAACACCAGTGACAACGGTAGCCTCTGCCCCTTCACCATCTGGACCTTCAGCCAACGCATTTCCACCAATTAAAGCATCATCTATTTCACCTTCTTTCCTGCTCACCATCTTCCGTTCCACTTCCAGGCAGAGTCCGCTGGCCACTTCTTTGACCTTGTCGATGTCCGAGAACATCTCGTCTTGGCTGATGCAGTCCCAGTAGATGATCATGGCTGAGGCGTCATTGGGCGGTGGTGGGTTGAGTGGGTGGGCAAATGGAAGGCTTTGGGGAGCAGAGCGGCTGGGCAGCAACTCCCGGCGAGAGCAAGGAGCGAGGCGGAGAAAAAGCTGGAGGTCCGTTCTTAACCTGAAACTGTTCTTAACCTTAGGTACCACTTTAGCTCATGGGGCCTCCTGCTGCTGCCGCACCACCGCCACACTATTTCTGTTCTCATCCTGAAGCAAAGTTCTTAACCTGAGGTACTATTTCTGGGTTAGCGGAGTCTGTAAGCTGAAGCATCTGTAACCCGAGGTACCACTGTACAAATCTGAGGTTCTACCCCCTCTGACAAAAGCCTGCCCTCCTTAACAAAAATCCTGGCTACTCCCAAGTCAGCAGCTGCACCCACCCACCCATGGGGACAAAGCTTGCTCCTCCATGAGGCAATGGGAGCCAGAGAGATAAGGTGTGCTGTTTGGTGAGACATTTTGTGGCAGCAGATTGCCTTTCCAGCAAGGGAAGTAAGCTAGGACCCTGATCCAGATCTGCTGCTCCTCTCATTCTGCCACTGACGCACCCTCCTCCTCTTGGCTTATTATAGCGCTGGCCCTGTTGACTTGGTAGCTCCAGGAAGTAATTAATGCCCCATTAAGAAAGGGAGTGGTTCCAATTACCTTCTGAAGCTAGTAGTGGTGCAGTTGCTCCTTTAAATGGCCGCCATGGATCCACACCATCTCAAATATACTCAGACATACTCAAGTGAGTGGTGGCTGTCCAATTCTGGACTCACTTGGATGAGGCAGATGATGTAAAAACAAATCATGGTGCTTATGGCGGAGAAACAACCTCAAGGGAGACGTCCATTGGAGGAGGGCAGGGGAGTGTGACCCTGTCAATTTCTGGGCTCACTCTGTCAGCTGGGAGAACAGTCATATTGTGGTTTCCATCACAGGGCTCTTTTCAGAAGGTGGTGCTAGGGGGCTTCTATTTGGCCCCTTGCTGAGGTACTGAAAAGTTCCATCTTGTCCCTTACATACAAACACATCCTGTCAAGCACCACCCCCTTGTGTGGATGGGAAACACTGAGACAGGGTTCAGCTGAAAGCACTTGTGTGAATGCACATGGAAAAATGAGATCTGCACAACTCATGTACACATTAGAATGTGCACAGCTGTTTGAATGTGCACCTCCCATGTTCCTATTTAAAGGGGAACATTCCCCCAAATTACAATGTCTTCACAATGGGTGGGTGTGGTTTTATTGTGTGATTGTAATTTTGATTTATATAAGCTACCTTGAATGATACAAAAGCATAAAAAGGTAGGGTGATTCCCCCCACCCTTGAAAATAAGGATGGGGAAATTGTTTGTGTCCAATTGCGCCAGACTTCAGCTTGAGCAATAATTTAAAATGTATTTGGGTGTGTGTAGAACAGGGGCCAGCAACCTTTTTCAGCCATGGGCCACTCCACCGTCCCTCAGACCATGTGGTGGACCGGACTATGCTTTTTGGGAAAAATGAATGAATTCCTATGCCCCACAAATAACCCAGAGATGCATTTTAAATAAAGGCACACATTCTACTCATGTAAAAACACCAAGCAGGCCCCACAAATAACCCAGAGGTGCATTTTAAATACAGTGGTGCCTCGCAAGACGAAATTAATTCGTTCCGCAAGTCTCTTCGTCTTGCGGTTTTTTCGTCTTGCGATGCACGGTTTCCCATAGGAATGCATTGAAAATCAATTAATGCGTTCCTAGGGAAACCGCCTTCAGACCAGGTCTGGGGACAGTCTGTCCCCGGACCTCTTCTGAAGGCTGGGGGGGGGACAAGGGCTTTTCTTCCCACCCCCAGCATTTTAAAAAACCCCGGGACAGCGGAGGACTTCTCCGCTGTCTGGGGCGATTTAAAAGCCCCTGGGAAGGCAGGCAGGGGGGACAAATACTTTCGCCCCCTGCCCGCCTTCAGAAGGTGTTCCCGCCCCCCGCCCCGCTTCGGAACAGCGTTCCGAAGTGGGGCGGCTGGGGCAGGTCTTCCCGCCCCCCCTCCCCGCTTCGGAAAAGCGGGCTAAGCGGGACCTCCCGCCGGGCATGCGAGGCTTGCCGACATCTGCCTGAAGCAGGGGGCGGGCTCCGCAGCTCACCCCCTGCTTCGGGATGCAGGCTGCCGCCCCAAGCCTTGCATGCAAGGCTTGCCGGCATCTCCCCCAAGCAGGGGGCGGGCTCCGCAGCTCACCCCCTGCTTCGGGATGCAGGCTGCCGCCCCAAGCCTTGCATGCAAGGCTTGCCGGCATCTCCCCCAAGCAGGGGGCGGGCTCCGCAGCTCACCCCCTGCTTCGGGATGCAGGCTGCCGCCCCAAGCCTTGCGCGCAAGGCTTGCTGACATCTCCCCCAAGCAGGGGGTGGGCTCCGCAGCTCACCCCCTGCTTCGGGATGCAGGCTGCCGCCCCAAGCCTTGCGCGCAAGGCTTGCCGGCATCTCCCCCAAGCAGGGGGCGGGCTCCGCAGCTCACCCCCTGCTTCGGGATGCAGGCTGCCGCCCCAAGCCTTGCGCGCAAGGCTTGCCGGCATCTCCCCCAAGCAGGGGGCGGGCTCCGCAGCTCACCCCCTGCTTCGGGATGCAGGCTGCCGCCCCAAGCCTTGCGTGCAAGGCTTGCCGGCATCTCCCCCAAGCAGGGGGCGGGCTCCGCAGCTCACCCCCTGCTTCGGGATGCAGGCTGCCGCCCCAAGCCTTGCGCGCAAGGCTTGCCGACATCTCCCCCAAGCAGGGTGCGGGCTCCGCAGCTCACCCCCTGCTTCGGGATGCAGGCTGCCGCCCCAAGCCTTGCGCGCAAGGCTTGCTGACATCTCCCCCAAGCAGGGGGCGGGCTCCGCAGCTCACCCCCTGCTTCGGGATGCAGGCTGCCGCCCCAAGCCTTGCGCGCAAGGCTTGCCGACATCTCCCCCAAGCAGGGGGCGGGCTCCGCAGCTCACCCCCTGCTTCGGGATGCAGGCTGCCGCCCCAAGCCTTGCGCGCAAGGCTTGCCGGCATCTCCCCCAAGCAGGGGGCGGGCTCCGCAGCTCACCCCCTGCTTCGGGATGCAGGCTGCCGGCTTCGCTCCCGACCCCCAGCATTTTAAAACCTTCCCGGGACACGGGGAGATTTTAAAATGCTGGGGGTCGGCAGCGCTTCGCTCCCGACCCCCAGCATTTTAAAACCTTCCCGGGACACGGGGAGATTTTAAAATGCTGGGGGTCGGCAGCGAACGCTTCGCTCCCGCCCGCCAGCATTTTAAGATCGCCCGGGGCAGGCGGGGGGAAGGCAGGCGGGGGGGAGCAAAGACTTTTGCCCCCCGCCGGCCTTCAGAAGAGGTCCTCTTCTGAAGGCCGGCTGTGGGCAAAAGTCTTTGCTCCCGACCGTCAGCATTTCCCTATGGGCTTTCGTCTTGCGATGCAAGCCCATAGGGAAATTCGTCTTGCGAAGCGCCTCCAAAACAGAAAACCCTTTCGTCTTGCGGGTTTTCCGTCTTGCGAGGCATTCGTCTTGCGGGGTACCACTGTAAAAGGACACCTTCTACTCATGTAAAACCACGCTGATTCCTGGACCGTCCACGGGCCGGATTGAGAAGGCGAATGGGCCGAATCCCTGGTGTAGAACATCCATCTGAATAGCCACACAGTGGACCGCCATTTCAAAATGAGGATTGAAAAAGCTTATCTTCTCCCACCCTCCACTTTATGGAGATTAAGCCCCATTATGGTAGCTATAAGGATAAATCCCAAGTCCTACATTATCACTCAGGGTGCAGCTAGGTGATAATAGGGAGAAAGGGTTGTCCTCCTTTAGGTGGAAATGTGTAGTACTTTGCTTATTTCAAAAGGTGGTTGTTCTTCAAAAGTCTTGCTGCATCTGGGGGGCATCTCTTCATCATTCTGTTAGCAGTGGAGGGTGAATGTAGCTCTGCAACACAAAGCTCTGCCTGTTTCTTACTTAAACACAGTCCAAGGGGTTGAGGGGGCACCTTCCTCCTGCTTAGTTTCAGTGTTGCCCTTGTAGACCTCAGCAAAGGAGAGGATGACTCCACTTACTGTTGGTCCCCCAATGGGCACCAGCCAACACTGCTGTTGTGTAGGACCTTGGACTTTTCCCCCAAGTCCTGCCCTGATAGCACCAGTGGGTTCCATAACCTATTCAGTCCAGAGGGCTGAATACAGAGGGCAAGTCTAATTTATAAAATGAGTGACACACACTGCTGAAAGGGCTGTGAAGCAGTTGGGATTTACTTTCTCTTATACTGGGAGTGCCATATTTAATAAATGTCAAAAAAACAACTATTCAAACTAGTAGGAAGAACCCAAAACCAGCACTGTTATCAATTTCTGAAGGAGAAAATGAAGACCTTGCACAAAGAAGATGCTGATTTACTTGTTGGTAGTGATTAAAGATTTTCATTCCATTCCGCTTTTTTGTATCTCAAGTTATGGAGACTAGTATGAAATATGGGCATTCTGAAGAACCTGGTACTGAAAATTCCAAGAGGCTAAAGGACAATAAAATGCAGTAGAGTTTGAAGGAAATTTATTGTTTTGTGAACAGGACAGGAAAAGGAACAACTGGACACCTCTGGATTTATATGGATTGCTATAGCAAAATGCAAGACTGTATACCGGTGGTATATTGCTTACTAGCTGAAAAGAAAAAAGAAAGACCCAATTAATTTATCTCACATTTGTTTGGGCTTTGTGCATGTAATTTGGATGTGCTGTGTGTTGTAGTTAAACTATGGAACATTGGCTTGAAAATTAATAAAGTATATTTTAAAACAAATTTATAAGAAAAAGAGATTTCCATATGTGTAGAATAATTTTATTTGCTGCCTCTGGAAAGAAGGTGTTCATTAGTGAACCAAAATGGCTTAGATTAAAAGACTGCAGGTATGTTTGTATTTCTAAACATTAACAGACAATTGAGAAAGCCCATGAAAAAATAATAGATGGGAATGTTTTGACAGTTTTGAAACTAGCTGTCTTTTGTTATTTTCCCTTGATCAAAATTTGCCACAATAATTAATGGAAAAGATGTTAGGATATTATAACTTATCATACTGATTTGACAGGCAAATTCATTGGGGGAATGCATAGCTCTGGGCTTTTCCAGCTGACAGGAGCTATGTATGCTAAAATAAACATACTTTTTAATTTTTTAAGAAAAAGAATTCAGTACATTGACATGTGCTACATCAGTACAGTTTCCTTTGAACTATTTAGGCAGCCTTTGTTACTTGGAGGCAAATATTTTTTGTTATATGCAGGAAAAACAGGACATCTGGGGGCACCTAGCAGCTGCTGAGGTGAAAGAAAGATGCCCCCACAGTCCTATTCCATGCACAGAATCCAACCATGCTGCTGATGGCACAGCTTTCTCCAATGCACTTGGGGCAGCAGTCTAGTTTGGCAAGGAAAGGGAAGGTTGTATACTATACACAATGTTATCGTCCAATACCAGTGCCGGTAGAAAAATAGGTGCCGGTATTTACCATGAAGTTGTTACAGTAAGTGTCTCAGTTTTTAACAAAAAAGGTGTGCTGGTACTGTGTACCCCTGAGTACCCCCTGAAAAAAGCACCTTGCTGCCTCTCCTTACCCCCAGTCATTTACCACCTGAAGTAGCTGCCTGTTTACCTCAACTTTGACCATCCAAACGTTGCCAAGCTAAAACTCCCATCACCCCCGACTAGCATGCTTGCTAGTGTTGATCAGATGAGTTGTAGTTCAGCAACATCTGGAGGGCCAAAGGTTCCCCACACCTGCTCTCCCTAATGGTAGGGCTGGCCTTGCAGGTGAGGTAGAAAATCAGTGCAGAGAAGGGAAAGGGAACGCACACATTCCTCCCCAGTCTTGATCTACATTTGGGGGAGTGTGTGTGGGCTCTTGCAGCTGCTTTTGCTTAATAAACAACAACAGTGGCCAGCTGTAAGCAGGCACATCAAAGCCTGCACTTAACATAATATGTAGTAAATGAATTATAATTATAATCATTTCAGGCAAACCTCACTGTCAGGGAAACCAGTTCCCTCAGCCTCACTTGTACGCAAATGTAGGTATCTGTGCTTCTTTAATTTTCCGCTGCCACCAGTTTACTCAGAATCCTTTCAAAACCTCCTCATAGCTAGTACAGTAGGCTATGGTGTGAGATGGACACCAGGAAGAATTTAAATAAGATTGTTGGTTTATTAAAGGGATACTATTTATACAAGGAAATGCTGCTCTGTATATTGGGGTCTTAAAGGTGATACAATTCCCCTCCTGAAGATTTATTAGTTAGTGTTAGAGATGGAATTTAATTTTTAATTTTTAAAAGATTGTAAATTTTTAAAATTGTAAAATTGAATTTTACAATTTAATCAGCATAATCCATTAACATAAGTCACGTAAGAAAATAAGCATACATCCTTTCCCCCCCACCCATAGACTTCCCTCAGTGTTAGAGATGGAATTTTAGACAGGCACCCTATACAGGTGTTCTCTATTTAACCAACTGTAAATGCCTAATATTTAAGGAGTGATGATCACAAACAAAGAAGGTAAGATTACAGTTGTCTTATATTAGGAGGAAAGTATAAAACAAATGACCACACACATTCCTTGTTTTAATGAAGGATTGAGAGAAAGAGAAAAGTCTATGAAATGCTCAAAAGCATCCAAGAGTTTTTCTTGGCAGAGCAGAATGCGGAACACAAGAGGTTCCTTAAGTCCGGCATGTTACAAATTCTTTCTGGATTAAGGGATTCTACCCTCAATAATGAGTTGTATCATGTGGTCCTTCAGAGTAGCATCCAGCTGCACCCATCCATGGTTTTAGCAGTCATTAAGCTAGAAGGCCTGATTCTTTATAATGCTTTTATAATTATGGTTTGGAGAAGGGGCTATTTATCCCTTGCTTTCTCGCTCTGTCCCTCCCCAATTCATTGTAAATAATGTATTTCCTATTGGTATTAGTCATATGATATTTGCAAACTAAAGGCCATAGAGGAAAAACTGATCATGAAATCCAAACCACTGAAATAAAAAGGAGACTTTTTGTTTGTTTAAATGTTTTTGGACTGCACTATCATATAAAACAACACAAGGAGTGTTGATTGGGAGTGAAAACACCACTTTATGTTTTCACTCTGCTTCCATATATGTTCACTCAAAAGTAAGTTCTACTGCATTCAGCTGGTCTTACTCCCAGGAAGTAAGCACCCACCTATTTTTACTCTGTAGTATGCTGTTGTGTGACTTGCTCTCCAATGAGTGTGCATAGAATTGTAGCTGTGCAACCTGATTCTATGCACGTTTGCTGAGACGCAAGTCCCAGTGTCAAATGTGGTTTTCTCTCCACCAAGTGTGGTTTTAGACAGCAGCCTTAAATGCCGTTTGACATTTAGTCCCATCCAGTTCAATGTTACTTGCTTCTGGACAAACCTGGTTAGGGAACTGGGATTACAGTGTAAGGTTGCAAACCTAAACTAGCTAGCTACTCGGAAGTAAATCTTATTGACAGCAACTACATCTACAGCCATACTACCCTTAACATGCCCGATCTTAAACTGACGTATTTTTCTCTATATAAGATGTGCCCATGTATAAGACAACCCCTATTAAACGACTAAACAACAACAACAACAATTTCTAGAGTTGTTGAGCTTTCTTCTTGGGGGGGGGAGGAGGAGAGGGTTAGCCAAAGTTGTTGAGCTTTTCTCTCTCTTTCTTTCTCTGTATGCCAAGTTAGGGATCCTCTCCAAATGCATGTGTTTGATAGGGCACGTGGAAGGTCATGTATTTAAGCTCTGGGTGACCAAGCACAGACAGATCTACAAATTCATGTGTGCACGTGTGACAAATTCCAGAGGGGCTGCCCTGTTAGACTGCAATAGATTGCCATTGATTGCTTTGAAGTCACTTCAGCAAGAGATTGGGGAGGGGGGAATCGCCCCCCCAACAACCTCTTATTTTCCCAGAACAAAAGTGGCTACCCTAGAGACCCACCACATGGTCTTCCAGCTGCAAGGCTAAGACTTGAACTTGCCAGCCAGCTCAGGCATATGTTTCATTTGTTGACCAATAAGAAGTTCCAATGAGTCCCCTGGGCCTCCTTTCCCCCTAGCACCCAAGGCTTCGTAGCCGAGGCCGACCACGCTAAACAAGCCGACCGATCCGGCTTCAGGCGACGCCTCTTCCCCTCCCAAGATGGCACCCGGGAGGCCGACTTCCTCCTTCCAGCCAGCAGCTTACCAGCCGCGCGGCCGCCATTGGCCGCACCTCTATTCAAACAGCAGCGCGAGCGCGGCGCGTGCGCTTCGGAAGCCTCCGCAGCGGCCTCGCTGTCTCAGGCCGGCGTGCGCTCGCTCCCTCGCTCTCGCGCGTGCTCCTGCGAGAGCGCCGCGCGGCGAGGAAAGGGGCGGGGCTTGGCGCCCTCGGCTTCCCAGTCAGTGGCTGCCGCGGCGCCGGAGAGCGGATGTTGTTATTGTTGTTGTTCCTGTCCGTCTCTCTCTTCCCCCTCCCCGGGACCATGACGGGCGCTTCCTCCCGGCGGCCCTGAGAGGGAAAAGCTTCGGTGGCCGCTTCGCTCGGAGCTTCGGAGGAGGCGGCGGCGGCGGTCCAAGAAGCGGCGGCTGCTGCTCTTGGCTCTCTCTCTCTCTCTCCTTCTCTCATCCTCGGCCTCTTCTGCTTCTTCTTCCTCTTCCTCGCGGCCCGGCCTGGCCCGGCCATGGCGGACTTCGACGAGATCTACGAAGAAGAGGAGGACGAGGAGCGGGCCTTGGAGGAGCAGCTGCTCAAGCACTCGCCGGACCCGGTGGTGGTGCGCGGCTCCGGCCATGTCACTGTGTAAGGAAGGGAGGAAGCTGGGAGACGTGGGAGCGAGGTGGGCGAAGAGGGATGGAGGGCGGCGAGAGAGGAAACGAGGAGCTGCTTCTGCAGGGCCCAACTGGCACCTTCCTGCCGAGGCACCTCTGACCTTCCGCGGGGGATTTCTGCAGTCCATATTCGTTGCAACCCTTCCGCCTTCAAAGCCTGCTGAAAGTACACATCCCGCTTAGGGTTGCAGCAATTCTTTGTGTGTATATATATATATATACACACACACACACATATATATATGCTGCTATACCGTCTCTGCAAGCTTTTGCAGCAGCCCTGTAAGATAGGCCTTTTTTCTCCGTGTTGCAAATGGGGTGGGGTCTGAAGCTGGTTGTTTTTTTAGGGCCCTTAGATAAGCCGCGGTAAGATTCGAATTCAGGCCTGTCTGTTTCACTTTTCCTTAGCTGCTGTGCTACCACAGCGTAGTGGCACTGTGTTTTGTTTTGTTCTTGCTTTAGCTTTGTGAGGTCGGTCATCATGAAGGAAGGAAGGATGAACTGAGAGGTAAAGGGATTGTGCTTCTGCAATCCACTCAGTAGATCCAGATGTGAAGCAGGACTGATTTTGCTCCTCATCAGAATACAGTGGTACCTCGGGTTGAGTACTTAATTCGTTCTGGAGGTCTGTTCTTAACCTGAAACTGTTCTTAACCTGAAGCACCACTTTAGCTAATGGGGCCTCCCACTGCCGCCGTGCCGCCGCCGTACGATTTCTGTTCTCATCCTGAAGCAAAGTTCTTAACCCGAGGTACTGTTTCTGGGTTAGCGGAGTCTGTAACCTGAAGCGTATGTACTTGAAGCCTATGTAACCCGAGGTACCACTGTAGTTTTGGTGTATTGTCCAAGGTCATGATAAAGTAATATAAAGTGTTATAGTACTTCTGAACAATATCCTTAGAATAAGGGTTTTCAGCTGTCTTTCTCTTTCCTCTACTCACCTTTCAGAGGTTTGTGTTTATTTGCCAGGCTTTTTTCTCTTCACATTTAACAGTTAAAAACCCAAATAGCTCAGTTCGTTAGAGTGTGGTGCTGATAATGCCAAGGTTGCAGTTTCGGCCCCACAGCTGCATAGTCCTGCATTACAGAGGGTTGGATCCTCAGGGTCACTTCCAACTGCATGATTCTATGATCCAGTGTGCTCCATCTAGGATTTGCTAGGAGCTCCAGTTCTTCCTGTGCCCCTCCCCCATGTATTTAGAATCATAGAGTAGATAAATGAGATTGATTCAACCCATCATTTAAAATTTGGTCCATATTCTTATATTCATTTGTTTATATACTTTCAGCCCTGTTCATCAAGCTGTGTGAATGTCAGGCAGCTTTAAGCTTTCCAACCTATTCATGCTTTTTGCTCTTTTGTCTCTCTGGACCAAGAAGTACAGCTGGCAGGTCAGGTGCTCTGTTGTGGAATAGTCTGTTATGAAGAATTATGTATGTCTAGGGAAGTTTAATGTCATTTTGTGCTTGTCACAAGTTTGGACATAGACTTCCCTGTTTTGGGAGATCCCAAAATGTCTGTGCATACTCACAGATGTAATTGTATCCCCTAGTGCTAAGGGATGTGATCTCAGGTCCATTATTGCTATGATTGTATGTAGAGCATACTCCACTTTTTACTAGCATTCCATACAAACACAATTCGTCATTGGGTCAATAGGGAAACTAAGCTAATGAGATTCATTATGACTAATAGCAGAATGTGAAGTACTAAACCAAATAATTATGACATGTCAGGAAGTAGAACACTTGGGATTTGGATAAGTGTGTGTTTTTATACATGACCAGCTGTGCTATAGATGAATGTAAGTTGTTAATGCTTCTATTAGTCATAGTCTCAACCTACACGTATAATAACATGTTTCAGCTTTCTGCCAAGTAGTTATGATGTGAAAAACTCCCCTTAAAATACAGCAGTTAACAAAAATGACAGGCATGTCTAGAGCACTAGGAGTGCATTTATAGTACAGTATATGATCTGGGTCACTTACTTTGCTGTTTTCTAAACTAGATCTCATTTCATATTATAAGGGTTGCAAATTCTATAGCTTTCTGTGAATGAGCCCCATTGAGCTCAGTGAAGTTTACTTCTGATGAAACAAGTTTAGGATTACACTGAGTATGCAGTCCTGTGTTCCTGACATGGAGTATTTCCAGGATGTTGAGGGATATAGCCAGTAGTACAAACAAGTAATGCTACTTGAAATGGATTGATTTAAATCACCTTGAGAATGATTAATTTAAATTAATTAATTATTTAAATGAAGTTTCCCATGCTGTCATTCCTGAATCTGTGTGTATACTAGTTGGTTGGTTAATGATGATCAAAATACTTTGATCATGCAGCCCGCATACATTTATACTACATTTTTCTTTTCAGCTATGGTTGGTGGTGGGTAGAATTGCAAAACTTAATGGCTTTCTGTTTGGCTCTCTGTATGTATTCAGGGACATTAATGTATGTATTAATATCTCTCTCAGAGAATTTCTGTCCTAACAATTAAATGGAAAACAACTAAAAATCAAATTGAAAAGCAAAATGAAGACAGAACAGTGAAAAGGAAACAATCCATAAAAACAAGTAGGAATCTTTAATAAGTCAGGTAGAATACCTGCTGGAATAAAAATGTATTAAGGTCAAGAAGGACACCAGAGCCACCGAGAAGGCTCACTCATGCATCTCTGTCAAACAAGTGTATTATAGATGGAGGCAGGATGTGCAAAAGGGCCTCTTTCCTTCGATCTCAAAAGATTGGCAGGGCCAAACAAAATTAAAAAGGTTATTTAGGTATCCTGGTCCTAAACCATTCAGGGTTTCTAATGTAATGACCAGCATTTTGAATTGATCCTGATATGAATTGGTAGGCAGTGCCTCCGCAGGAGCAGAAGGAACCAATTGCTTTAGAGTCAGAATCCTTGCTACAGTTTTTTGTATCAACAGAAGTTTCCAGATGCTCTTCAAAGGCAGTCCCATGTAAAGTACATCAACAGCAGTCCAGTTATGCGATAACTAAGGCATGTTTTATCATGTTTCTCTAGACTGGTGCACCAGTTGCACCTGTTTCATATGTTCAGCTGCCATCTCAACTTACAATATCAAGGCTAGGCCAAGGAGGTCTCCCTAACTGTAGACCTGATAGCATAACCTCCATGCAAAACAAGCTGAACTGTCACTCCTTGATCTGTGTTTTGTGTTGTCTGGATTAAGCTTCAATTTGTCAATCCACATCCAGTCCTTCACTGATCTTAGACCCTTTACAGTTTCCCTAGGGTAAGAAGGAAAGGAGCAGGCAAATTGAATATCATCAAAATATTCATGGCATCAAACTTCTGGTGTCTGGATTACCTTCCCTCATGACAGTCTTCTGGTTTGGTTGGAGAACCTGAGAACCTGAACACGCTGTAGAATTTGGGTAGTTATTGAGAAATTCAAGATCACCAAGCCTTAATTGGATGATTGTGGTGAGATACAGGATATCTGAATACTATCTCTTTTAAAAGCTTGTCAGTTCTTTGGTTCAAGAGGGATATTTTATATTTATAATATCTGACCTCAGATGTCAGATTCCCCCCCTCATCCCAGTTTATTGCTCTTACGTAAACAATTTTTCCTTTTTTTATGCTTATTAAAAGGATATTGGTTTCAGTTTGAAATATGTATGTTTTAACACATTGGTATTAAATTTAGATTTCATAGTAAACCAGATACTGTTAGAGAGACTTTCTACAATGAAAAATAAATTAATCAATTATCCATCATGTTGCTATACCATGTTTAATTAAGTGTGATATTGTGCTCACCCTTACAACTTTTAATGTTATGATTCACATTGTACAGATGAGGAATTGAGGTTGCACAATGAATTAAGGGCTAGAATGGCCCTTGAAGTTAGACCTCCTGGATTTATTGCATTCCACTGGCCCTGCTAGCTAGTACTGGTCTAGATACCCTAAAAAGACTGTCTAGTGGTTTGAGAATTATTTCTAATAAGAACGTAAGAGCCAAGACTTATCTAGTCCAGTATCCTGTTTTCTCAGTGTCTGAGCAGATGCTTGTGGGAAGCCAAGCAGGATTTGAGCACAAGAGCATTCTCTCCTCTTGTGAGCTCCAGCAGCTGTTTATTCAGAAGCATTGCTGCTTCCACCTGTGGAGGCAGAGCCTAGCCGTCATGGCTAATAGCCAGTGATAGCTCTCTCCTCCATGAAATTGTCTAATCCTCTTTTAATAGAATTCTAGTCAGAAGTATAGTCCACTTAGGGGTCATCTGTCTAATTAAAGGTCTTTTTGATCATTATAGGTCTATTCCATAGTTTGCAGTTGAGGTCACGTGTAGGCACATTTGCTTACAGCAGCTTTTGCCAACTCGGTGACCTCCAGATTTTTGGACTACAACTCTCAGCAGCTCAAACCAGCATGGCCATTCCAGCTGGAGCTGATGGGAATTGTAGTTCAAAACAGCTAGAGAATATCAGGTTAGTGAAGGCTGGCTTACAGACTAAGCTTGTGCTTGCCATTTGGATTTGCTTTAGGGAAGTGTAGTGTGGTATGATAATGCTAGGTTAGCAGTATCTATGGCTATATCAGTTCAGTGATCAAATATATGTCTGCAAATTTACCTTCAAGGATTTGCCTAGCTTAGTGTCTATTTGTGTCCGCATAACTGAACTCATATAGTAGCAAAGTGAAGAATGCTGATCACTTGATTTTAATTGTATCTGTATATCTTTGGTTTGCATTTTATGGTCCTACTGTACATTGCCTTGAAACGTCTGCATAACAGACCGTATATCAAAACCTTAATGATAAGTAATAGCAACCTAAATAAATATACTCCTTTGTCTTTAAAAAAAAATCCCTACCATAAAATGACAAAGACATGTTAAATGTTAATATTAACATTTATGTAGTCTCAGGACTCTGCTTGGCTGTCTTTAGAACATAGAAATGACCTGATCCCTAGCAGAGAGTTT